TATCTATCTTTTCAATATCAGTGGGACCTTTAGGCATGTCCCTTCTTTCATTTCCAAAATTACAATTTGTGTCCTTTCTCTTTTTTTCTTAGTTACCTTGGAAGCTTACCGATTTTCTCAATCTTTTCAAATAACCAACTTTTGGTTTTGTTGATTTATGTTTTCACTTTCATTAATTTCTGCTCTAATTTTTATTATTCCTTTTATTATGCTTTCTTGGAATTTAATTTGCTCTTCTTTTTCTAGTTTCCTAAGATGGAAATTTAGATTGAATTCAGATCTTTTTTGTTTTCTAATATTTGCATTCAATGCTATACATTTCTTTTCAAGCACTGCTTTCACTGCTTCCCACAAATTTTGATAAGTTGTGTTTTCATTTTCATTTACTTCAAAATACTTTAAAATTTCTCTTGAAGTACTATGTTCTTTGTCTCATGAGTTATTTAGAAGTGTGTTTGTTGTTTAATTTCCACATATTTTGGGATTTTCCAGTTATCTTTTTGTTATTGATTTCTTTTTCTTTTTTTAATTAATCCTCACTGCCGGGGTTCTTGTCCCAGCATCAGGAAGGGTTCAGGAATCTGGAAAAGGCTGATGCGTAGATTAAAGAGTCCAGGGACTAATAAAGAGTCCGGAGACAAGATATAATTTTGAAAGGCATTGGGGGTCAGCTAAAGGAACTGAAGACTCCCTCCTTGTCTAGGACCCTTGCTTTTATTAACACAATTTGTCCTAAGGCAGGTGGAGATAATACACGTCAAAGGGTAAGGTTTCAAAGGGCACAGAAGCATTGTCAGTTTGGGGAATAGCCTACGGCTGTTCAGGTGTTTGGTCAGTAGGAGGCAATAACATGTAGATTAAGATGCTCTTTAATTATCTGGCAGCCACAATCAGTTTCCTATTCAGGTTTGGGGAAATGCCTTCAGCCATTCCCAACAGGTGACTACATGTGTGACTCAACCCTGTTGAGTCCCCAAGTTTCATCAACCTTTTGATGGAACTCTTGAAATTACGACATGCTGGAATTGGTCCCTGGCACCTCATTGAGGATATTTTTCCATTGATTTTTAGAGAGAGTGGAAGGGAGAGGGAGGAACAGAGAGAAATATTAGTGTGAGAGAGACATATTGATTGGTTGCCTCCACACGTCCCCAACCAGGGCCAGGGATTGAGCCTGCAACCAAGATATGAGGTAGGTGCCCTTGACTAGAATCGAACCTACAACCCGTCAGTCCGTGGGTTGATGCTCTAACCACTGAGCAACTGGCTAGGGCCTATTATTGATTTCTAGTTTTATTCCATCATTATCTGAGAGAAGAGACATGTGACTTTTACTCCTTTAAATTTGTTAAGGTATGTTTTATGGTCTAGTCTAATCTATTTTGGTGAGTTTGAGAAAAATGTGTATTCTGTTGTTGGATGAAGTAGCCTATAGATGTCTATTATATCCAGTTGATTGATGGTGTTGTTGAGTTTAACTATGTGCTTACTGATTTTTTTTGTCCGCTGGATCTGTCTATTTCCGAGGGAGGATTATTGAGGTCTCCAACTATAATAGTGGATTCATCTATTTTTCCTTGCACTTGTATCAGTTTTTGCCTTAATGGTTTGATTCTGTTGTTAGGGGCATACATGTTAAGAATTGTTATGTCTTGAAGAATTTATATTTACATAAATATAATTTTATCAATATGTAATGCCCTTCTTCATCTCTGATTACTTTTCTTACTTTGACGTCTGCTTTGTCTGAAATTAATATAGTACTCCTGCTTTCTATTAGTATTAGCATGGGTTTTTATTCCTATCCATTTACTTTTTTTTAAACAATATATTTTTATTGATTTTTAGAGAGAGAGGAAGGGAGAGGGAGAAGGGAGATCAGTGAGACAGGGAAATATCGATCAGTTGCCTTCTGCATGCCCCCTACTGGGGATCAATTCTGCAACCTGGGCATGTGCCCTGACTGGGAATCCATCTGGTGACCTCCTGGTTCATGGGTCAATGCTCAACCACTGAACCACACTGACCAGGTATATTTTCTTCTTCTTCTTCTTCTTTTTTTTTTTTTTAATAAAGAGCAAATAAGCTCTTTTCTTTTTAAAAATATATTTTTATTGATTTCAGAGAGGAAAAGAGAAGAGAGTAAGAGATAGAAATATCAGTGATGAGAGAGAATCATTGATAAGCTGCCTCCTGCACACCCCCTACTGGAGGATTGAGCCCACACCCTGGGCATGTGCCCTGACTGGGAATTGAACCAGCAACCTTTCAGTGCATGGGATGACATCCAACCAACATAGCCACACCTGCCAGGGCCATCCATTTACTTTTAATCTCTATGTGTTTCTATGTTTTAACGTGAGTTTCTTGTAGGCAACAAATAGTTGGGTTGTATGTTTTCATCCACTCTGAAATTTCTCTTAATTGGTGCATTTAGACCATTAATGTTAAAAGTGATTATCGATAGAGTTGGGTTAATATCTACCATATTTTCTATTGTCATTGTTCTTTGTTTCAATTATTGTCTTTCACTCTTTTGTTTTTCTAATTATGATTTCATTTTCTTTCTGTACTTAGCATATCAATTATACTTTTTAAAACTTTAAAGTCTATAGTTTTGTGGCTCAGTGGTTGAGCATCGACCTATGAATCAGGAGGTCAGGGTTTGATTCCTGGTTAAGGCACATGCCCGGGTTTTGGGCTAGATCCCCAGTAGGGGGTGTGCAGGAGCCAGCCAATCAGTGATCTCTCTCATCATGGATGTTTCTACCTCTCTCTCCCTCTTCTTTTCTCTCTGAAATCTATAAAAAAAAAATCATATTTTTTTAAAAAACTTTTTTTGTGGTTGCCCTAAAGTTTTATATACATTTATAAATAATCGAAGTTCACTTTCAAATAACACTATATCACTTCACAGGTAGTGTGAGTTCACCTTATTAATAACAAAATAATCCTTATTCGTTTCTCCTATCTCTTGTTTGTATTATTGCAGTCATTCATTTCACTAGTATAAGCATTCATAAGCGTTACACATAAGGTATAACTTAATACATTGTTGCTATTATTATTTTGAGCAAACTGTTAGATCATTTAAGAACAAGAAAAATGAAAGTTTTTATTTTACCTTCACTTATTCCTTCTTTGATGATCTTCCTTTTTTTTTTTTTTTTGTAGATCCATTTTTCTGTTATATTATTTTCCTTCTCTCTAAAGAATTTTTAACATTTTTTGCAAGGTAGATCCAGTGGCAAGAAATTCCTCAATTTTTATTTGTCTGAGAAAGTCTTTTTCTCCACTTTTGAAGGATAATTTTGCAGGATACAAAACTCTAAGTTGGTGGCTTATTTCTCTCAACACTTTAAATATTTCATTTTACTCTTTTCTTGCTTGAATGGTTTCTGAAGAGACGTAGATGAAGGTTTTATCTTTGTCCCTCTATAGGTTTAGTGTTCTTTTCCTCTGGCATCTTTCAGGATTTTTTCTTTATTTTTGATTTTCTGTTCTTTGAAAATGATATGCCTAGAGGTACAGTCATGTACCGCATTATGATGTTTAGGTCAGTGACGGACCACATATACCAGTGGTTCTCAACCTTCTGGCCCTTTAACTACAGTTCCTCATGTTGTGACCCAACCATAAAATTATTTTCGCTGCTACTTCATAACTGTAATTTTGCTACTGTTCTGAATCGTAATGTAAATATCTGATATGCAGGATGGTCTTATGAAATGACCCTTATGAAAGGGTCATTCGACCGCAAAAGGGGTCTCGACCCACAGGTTGAGAACCGCTGACATATACAAAGGTGGGCCCATCTGTATATGTAAAAGGCTAATATGCTAAGTGTCCGGCTGTCCAAACGGTGACTATGACACGCACTGACCACCAGGAGGCAGGCGCTCAATGCAGGAGCTCCCATGACACGTACTGGCCATTTACAGAGAAACAGTACCATGGACCTCGCACCCACAAAGCAATACTTGGCTTCCCCCAACACAGGCCCTGCCACCACCCCGGAGTGACACCCCACCAAATTACAGCCAATGCTGCTGAGACCCCATGATGCAAAATGCGGCCCACAGCCCATCCCTGCCCAGAAACGGTGGCTGTGGGTGCCGGGTAATGATGTCACGTAGCAACGCCCGGCTTCTTCTCCCTAGCAACTAGCCTCCTTGCGGTTTCTTCAGCTCAGGGACACAACTTGCTTTATAGCCAGGTGGAAACATTTTACACTTTCACCAAATGCCTGTGAAGTGTTTTCTTGTGCCTCATCTCATTTGATCCTCACAGAAGTCCTGGAGTGGG